CCCTTACCCTCCCCTTCTCGCTATTCCCGCCTTCATCTAGAGCAGTTCAGAAGCAGAACTGCCAGGGGGCGTTGTCTCCCCCAGAAACCCCAGGTGGTTTCGCTTAGCACAAACCTCTCCCTCCTTCAGTTTCATTGCAGAATCAAGCCCAGGGCAGTCAGAATCCAGTCCTGCTGTTTTCTAGCTGGGGCCTTGGGCAAATCACTTTACCTTTTGAATCTCAACATATGGCTCTTCTAAATTGGGAACAATAATAGTACTGGCTTGGAGCTGCAAGTTAATGCTTGTAAAATACCAACTCAGGTCTTGGTGGGTGGGATGAATCTATGGACTTGGCAGCAGCAATTTAATGATGACAATAATGGCAGATATCAACACTGAGGACCTGTTCTGTGCCAAGTCCTATTCTGAATGCTTTACATATCCATTATCTTATTTAATCTTCAAATCAACCCTCTACCATCATCATGCCCATTTTACAGATGAAGAAACTAAGAACTTGAAAGTTTAGGAAACTTGCCAAGGTCACCCAGCCAGTAAATAGTGGAAGCACAATTTGAAACCAGAACCTGTGCTTTAACCACTACTGGCTGCCCTTCTTTTTTTTTTTTGTCTGTTGGAGTCTCTGTCGCCAAGGCTGGAGTGCAGTGGCGCACTCATGGCCACCCCAGCATCGACCTGCTGGGCTCTGGCGATCCTTCCACCTCAGCCTTCCAAGTAGCTGGAACTACAGGTGCATGCAACTGCGCCCGGCTAATTTTTAATTTATTGTAGAGATGAGGTCTCGTCAAGTTTTCCAGGCTGATCTTGAACCCTGGGCTCAGGCAATCCCTTCACCTCGGCCTTCCAAAGTGCTGGGATTACAGGCTGAGCCACCGAGCCCAGCCTGCCCTTCTCTTATTTTAACAGCAATAATGTGGCCCTGTCTTTTCTCAGAGACCCCCCACCTTCCTGGCTCAGATCTCCATTGGCCAGAGTCCCTAGCAAAGAAGGTCTCCTCCCCACCTGTCTTCATCCTTTACCCCATGGCCCCAGGAACATGGTGGCTGTGATTTCAGGTGAAAGGGCTGCAACTCTCCCTGAACCTGGGCAGGGGGAGCCTTCATGGGCAGCCCTCACCCACCCACCCTTGCTTTTACCTCTGAAAGACCATAGCCCCCAAAAAGTTGGACACTAAAAAGATATTCCATAAAAAAGTGGGCCGCCACAACTGAATCATACATACCCCCAAGTCTCAAAACAAAATATAAAAATAGGGCCAGATTGGTGGTTCACCCCTGTAGTCCCAGCCCTTAGGGAGAAGGAGGCAGGAGGATTGCTGAACCCAGGAGTTCAAGACCAGCCTGGGCAACATAGCAAGACCTTGTCTCTACAAAAAAATAAACAAATTAGTCGGGCTTAGTGGTATGTACCTATAGTCCCAACTACTCAGGAGATTGAGGCTGTGGTGAGTTGTGATCCTGCCACTGCACTTTATCTAGCCTGGGTGACAGAGTAAGACTCTACATCTAAAACATAAAAATTATTAGCCCTGCCATGTCCAAATGGTTACCTTGGGCAAGTTGCTTAAGTTCTCTGGACCTCAGTTTCCCCATCTTAAGATGGGAATAATATCCATACCTGTCTCATAGGTTCATTCAAAAGACTCAGTGAGGCCAGGCATGGCGGCTCACAGCTGTAATCCCAGTACTTTGGGAGGCCAAGGCAGGGGGATCGTTTGAGCCCAGGAGTTCAAGACCAGCCTAGGTAACATAGCGAGGCCACATCTCTATTTTTTAAAAAAAAAGCCAGGTGTGGTGGGTCAAGCCTGTAATCTCAGCACTTTGGGAGGCTGAGGCAAGAGGATTGTCTGAGCCCAGGGGTTCGAGACCAACCTGGACAACTTGGTGAGACCTCATCTCTACAATAAATCAAAAAATTAGCTGGGCATGGTGGCATGCACCTGTAGTTCCAGCTACTTGGAAGGCTGAGGCAGAAGGATTGCTGGAGCCCAGCAGGTTGAGGCTGCGGTGGCCATGAGCATGCCACTGCCCTCCAGCCTGGGCGACAAAGTGAGACTCTGACTCAAAAAAAAAAATCAGTGAGTTTGTATGTGTGTATAAGTGTAATACATGGAAAGTACTTAAAGTGCCTGGCCCATCATAAGCACTCAACAAAATTTTTTATCTACTGGGATCAAACAGTCCTCCCTCCTCTGCCTCCCAAAGTTCTAGGATTACAGGCATGAGCCACTGCACCCAGCCCATTTTTTTTTTTTTTTTAAACGGGGTCACAATCATAGTTTGCTGCAGCCTTGAACTCCTGAGCTCAAGCAATCCTCCCACCTCGGCTTCCCAAAGTGTTGGGATTATAGGCATAAACCACCACTCCTGACTCAACACCCTGCAAACATTGAGGTTATGTTTTGTGAACTGTTGTCCCCAGCATTCCAAACTTGTGCTTTGCTCTTGAGCACCGAATGACCTGAGTGGGAAGAGGTTTGTAGTTTATTATTTCCCTTCAGGGCACTGAGGTTTTCCCCCTTCTTGGCTCCATCCTACATGACCCTGAGATCTTCGAACAGCCAGAGGAGTTCAACCCAGGCCGTTTCCTGGATGCTGATGGACGCTTCAAGAAGAATGAGGCGTTCCTGCCCTTCTCCCTAGGTATTGCTGGGTCCTTAGGTACAACAAGCAGGCCATGGCCAGCTTTGGGCATCTGTGCCAGCTGGGGCCACCCTCCCACACCCTGGGCTCACCATTGCACCCCCCCATCCCTTCTGAGGACCTGGGTATGAAGAAGGCTGGCTCAGCCCTGTCTCCTCCTCCTTGCCAGGGAAGCGTGTCTGCCTTGGGGAGGGCCTGGCGAGAGCCGAGATCTTCCTCCTCTTCACTGCCATCCTGCAGGCCTTCTCCCTGGAGAGCCCATGCCCACCGGGCGCCCTGAGCCTCCAACCCGCCGTCAGTGGCCTTTTCAACATCCCCCCAGCCTTCCAGATGCAAGTCCGGCCTGCTGACCTCCACCCCATCACACAAACCAGATGAAAGAAGGACGCTTGGAGGTAGAGGCCACCTACAGTGGTGCCTCCAGCTTCAACAGTGAGAGCTGACAGGGCTGGGTCATCAGAGCCACAATTCTGTACCTCAGGCAGCCACATTTACACCCTGGCAGTCCTTCCAGAATCTGTCCCATAGCTCACACTCACATGGCCCACGCTGCTGTCGAGACACACACCACGTCCATACACAGCTACAAGACCCACAAGGTGCCAGCTACAAGCTATCCACAAATGTAAACTGAGTCCACCTGGACTTGTAACCCACATATGGGAGTCTGGCTGCCACCTCCATAAGCCACAGACACAGCTCACATGCCCTCTCCATCCATCTCATTGGTGCCGCTGTCTCTGGGTGCCTGGTACAGAGAACAGCATGCCCCCTCCTGGGTCTTTTCACAGAGAGATGATTCCTGTCCGTTGCCCCAACACATGCTCCCTTGCCTGACTGCTGCTTTCCTGGCCCATGACACCGATGTCCACACAGCCAACCCATGTGTGACACCATGCCAGCTCCCCTGAGTATCTTCCCACTAAGACACACCACTCCCATGAGACAATGCCCAGCCACCCCTGCAGCATCAGCCCTTAAAGTCAGTCGCTTGTCTTCAAACACATTGATTCTCCCAATACAGCTGTGTCCTGGTCTGCAATGTGCACACAGACCTTGGACACATGAGAACCCTCAGACCAGAGGAATACCTACCCCACCCCCCACCTCTCCTTTGTTACCATGTTGAGCGTGGTCTCTGCTACCCCCACCCCCACCCCCACATTGACCCACAGTCCCTGGTCAGCGTCAGAGTCCCTGTTGGATCCAGTGGAAGGGGCTAGAAGACCAAGTAGGGGACAGGTTCCAATTCCCAGTGTCAGGGAAGAAGCAGAATCTGACATCCTTGTGACTCGAAGGTCCCCATTTTTGCAATAAAAGTTTGTTTCTGGCCCATGGCCTAGTGTGTGTGTGTGAGACCATGTCAGTCACTGTGAGTAAGGGGTGGGGATGGAGGAGTCCACCCCTCCCCTGAGGCTGGGCGGGAACTGAAAAACATGGCCACCGCCCACCCTGGCTGTTGACATCAGTACCAGATGTGAAGCTGGGGGGAGGGGTGGGGCTGGGGCCGGTTGCAGGCCTCACTTCCAGAGACGGCCAAGGTGTCCACAGTGAGGAGTGGGCAGGGGAGGGTAACACAAGCTGACTGCAGGCCTTGGGGGCCTCCTCAGCTCTGGAAAGCCTGACGCGACCAGATCCGGACACTGGGGACTCCCAAATCTGAAAGCAGATGCTTAAACACTGGCACTAGTGCACAACGTGAACTCTAACCTCGCTCCCGCCTTTTCCTGCGTCCTTTTTCTCCTGCCATCACAAGACAATCAGAGGCACCTTTTAGTTTCTTATCTGGTAAGAAAGTTTTTAAGCATACACAGAAGAAGAATGATGCAATAAACCCCTGGGTGAACATTACAGCCTCATCTAGTAACGATCCACTTTCTGTTGCTTTTACTTCAACGACCTCCTTTTCTGCTATTTTTTTTTCACCTGCCACTTTGTGAAGGTCATTTTAAGGCAAATCCGAGAAAATAAATCAACGCACATTTCTAAGAGGTAAGTCTTTGTTTCTTCTGACATGACAGTTTTCAAACGTGCAGCAAAGTTGAGGGAATTGTACAGCAGACACCCACAGGCACCTCCCAGGCTCGCCTACCAGCATTTGGTTACACTGCTTTATAACATTTCTTCCCATCTGGCCAGCCCAGGTTAAAAAATAAAAAACTTTTAAAAAATTTGGGAAAGCAGCCTCCTGAGAGCTCTGAGAGCTTTTCTATCCTCTCAATAAATCCTGCTTTAAAAAAAAAAAATACTTTTTTTTGTGGAGACAGGGGTCTTGCTATGTTGTTCAGGCTGGTCTCTGGCCTCAAGTGATCCTCCCACCTCAGTCTCCCCAAGTGCTGGGATTACAGGTGTGAGTCACTAGGTCCGGCCAGCTCAGGGTTGTTTTTTTGTTTTGTTTTTGTTTTTACATATCTCCAAGTAAATTTCAGACATCCATTTACCTTAGAACTTTAGCAATGCATATATCATTAGCTAAAGTTTCCCTTTTTAAAAACTGTTCCATGATATTATCACTTTATTTATTTATTTATTTATTTTGAGTTGGAGTCTCACTCTGTCGCCCAGACTGGAGTGCAGTGGCATGCTCCTGGCCACACCGCAGCCTCAACCTGCTGGGCTCCGGCGATCCTTCTCCCTCAGCCTTCCGAGTAGCTGGAACTATAGGTGCGCGTGACCACGCCCAGCTAATTTTTTGATTTATTGTAGAAATGAGGTCTTGCCAAGTTGCCTAGTCAGGTCTCAAATCTGCGGGCTTAGGCAATCCACTCGCCTCAGCCTCCCAAAGTGCGGGATTACGGGCTGAGCCACCAAGCCCGGCTGATATTATCACTTTATTGGCTTAAGTTCTATAGAGGTAGCACAAAACAAGGAATAATAAAGAATTGGAAGACAGCTTAGAATCCAGTCAAGGTGTATACCTTGACTGAGGATTTACCATCTTAAAGCCTTAATACATTTAACAGAAATAAGAAATGAGAAAAATGTTGAAACTTAGTAGAAACTAAGTACATGCTAGATTCTTCTTGTTTTTAATATGATTACTATTTTCATGTGTCAGTGTGATATGAAAAGGAATGAAGTTTAAGGTTTTCTTCTTTTATCTCTCTCTCTTTTTTTTGGTGGAGGGAGCTGGAGTCTCACTCTGTTGCCCTGGCTTGTGTGCAGTGGCACACTGACAGCCACCACAGCCTCGGCCTGCTGGGCTCAGGTGCTCCTTCCGCCTCAGCCTTCCAAATAGCTGGAACTACAGACATGCACCACCACATGCCTAGGTTTTCTTCTTTTTTATTTTTATTCACTTATTTTTTATTTTATTTTATTTTTATTTTTTTGAGTTGGAGTTTCACTCTGTCGCCCAGACTGGAGTGCAGTGGCACGCACCCGGCCACCGCAGCCTCAACCTGCTGCGCTCCGGCGATCCTTCCGCCTCAGCCTTCCCGATAGCTGGAACTATAGGCATGCGCTACCACGCCCAGCTAGTTTTTGATTTATTGTAGAGATGAGGTCTTGCCAAGTTGCCCAGGCAGGTCTTGAACCCGTGGGCTCAGGCAATCCACTCGCTTCAGCCTCCCAAAGTGCTGGGATTACAAGCTGAGCCACCAAGCCCGGCCCTATTTTTATTTTTTTAATGAGTCAGAGTCTCACTCTGTTGCCCAGGCTGGAGTGCAGTGGCATGCTCATGGCCACTGCAGCCTCCACCTGCTGGGCTCAGGCAGTTCTTCCACCTCAGCCTTCCAAGTAGCTGGGACTACAGGCATGCACCACCATGCCTGGCTAATTATTTTTTATCTATTGTAGAGATGAGATCTCATCATGTTTCCCAGACTGGTCTCAAACCCATGGGCTCAGGCAGTCCTCTTACCTCGGTCTCCCAAAGTGCTGGTATTACTGGTCCAGTGATTTTAGTCTGTAATCCCAGCACTTTGGGAGGCAGAAGTGAGAGGATTTCATGAGCTCTGTGGTTCGAGACCAGCCTGAGCAAGATGGCGGGATCTCGTCTCTACAATAAATCAAAAAATTAGGCCGGGCTCGGTGGCTCAGCCTGTAATCCCGCGCTTTGGGAAGCCGAGTTGAGTGGATTGCCTGAGCCCGCGGGTTCGAGACCCGCCTGGGCAACTTGGCGAGACCTCATCTCTACAATAAGTCAAAAAGAAATTAGCTGGGCGTGGTAGCACGTGCCTGTAATTCTGGCTACTTGGAAGGCTGAGGTGGAAAGATCGCCAGAGCCCAGCAGGTCGAGGCTGCAGTGGCCGGGAGCAGCCACTGCACTCCAGTCTGGGTGACAGAGTGAGACTCCAACTCAAAAAAAAATAAAAAATTAGCCAGGCATGGTGGCACAAGCCTGTGGTTCCAGCTACTTGGAAAGCTGAGGTGGAAGGGTCACCTGAGCCCAGTAGGTCTAGGCTGTGGTGGCCGTGATGGTGCCATTGCCCTCCAATCTGGGTGACAGAGTGAGACTTCAACTCAAAAAATAAATAAGTAAAAAATATAAACTAAAGGCAGCCACTTGCTTTCCTTTGCACTCAGAATTCACAGTCAGGGAAATGTGTAATCAGATGGAAATCCCAGCAAACTTATTTAAAGAGTTATGAATCTTGTATTGCATCAGGATGATTTCAGTAGCAAATAAAAAATATATAAACTCAAAAATGGTTTGAACAACTAAGAATTATTGGACCCCAAAATAAAAATATTTTGAATTAATGAGGTCTTCAGATGTTTTTGTGTATGTGGTAAAATATAGATATCATAATATCATCATGACCATTCATAAGGTACAATTTAGTGGCATTAAATGTATTCACGGTTGGATGTGGGTGGCTCAAAACTATAATCCCAGCACTTTGGGAAGCAGAGGCAGGAGGATTACTTGAGATCAGGAGTTCAAGACCGACCTGGGCAACATAGAGAGACTTCATTTCTACAAAAAATAAATTCAACAGGGACAGAGGTTTATGCCCATAATCCCAGCAACTCAGGAGGCTGAGGTGGGAGGATTTCTTGAACCCAGGAGTTTGAGTCTACAGCAAACATGATCATGCCACTGCACTCCAGCCTAGGTGAGAAACCCTGTCTCAAAAAGAAAAAGATAAAGATAAAGAAATATATAAGTATTCACAGTGTTGCCTTACCATCACCACTACTTATGCCCAAACTTTTTTATCATCTCCAATAAAAACTTTACCCATTAAACAATAACTCCTCTTCAAAGTTTATTTAACAGTTAACCATTTTCATGCCTATCACAATGAATAATTATATTATTCATACATCCAATTTGTAATTGGTGTTCACATTTCCCTGATGGACTCATAGATGTATTTTATAATTGGTTTGTTCAAGTCCGAAGCCAAATTTCCTTTGCAGTGTCCTTTAAGTTTTTGAAATCTATACCTGGCCAGGCATGGTGGCCTGTAATCCCAGCTCTTTGGGAGGCCAAGACAAGAGGATAGCCTGAGCCCAGGGGTTGGAGATCATTCTGGGCAAATTGGTGAGACCTGGTCTCTACAATAAATCAAAAAATTAGCCGGGCATGTTGGCATGTGCCTGTTGTTCCAGCCACTTGGAAGGCTAAGGAGGAAAGCTCTCATGTCGAGGCTGAGTTGGTCGTGAGCATGCCACTGCAGTCCAGCATGGGCAACACAATGAGATTCAAACAGGAAGGAAGGAAGAAAAGAGGGAAGGAGGGAGGGAGGGAAGAAGGGAGGGAAGTCTGAACCCGTTCTCCACCTTTTGTAGGCTATTTATTTCTTAAATATATCGGGTCCTGTGCCTTGAACAATTTTTCATATTCTGGAGTCGGCTGATGACATCTTCCTGGTGTCGTTCAAGTCGTCCTTCTGTTCCCAGGATCTCCTGTAAACTGGAGATTAGATCAGATTCGGGCTCATCCCAGCAAGATGTCCTCCCTGGAGGCCCTTTCTTGTGTCATGTTGCAATAACTGACGGTCCCATGTGTTGTGATGTTTAAGATGGGTGTGTTCAGGTCCTGATCCCTCTGGTTAGAAAGTCTGCCAATCATTCCTTGACCAGCCTTAGCAGAGGAAGCCTTTAAAATCAGATCAGGAGCCGGGCTCGGTGGCTCAGCCTGTAATCCCGCGCCTTGAGAGGCTGAGGTGAGTGGAT